ATGTCTTAAATGAAGATACAGCAGGACTAGCAACCACACTGGTGAAAGGCGTCGATGACATGCGCGCCACTTCTCTTAAGGTACAGGTAGTGATATGCACGATACCGGAGGCACCGGTGCGTGATAGCAACCTGCAAAGAGCGGTTGTCAACGCAAACCAAGAGATATGGCGGATGAGCCGAGAAAAAGGCTTTGAGGTGGTGGAAATAAACAGAGATGTGCATAGGTGGGGTGGTTTTCAACGAGAAAGAATTCACTTCGATGGGCGGCTAGGTCATGAGGTCGGTTGGCGACTTGCAGGACGCTCAGTAGCTTTTCTGGGGGGGGGGGGGGGGGCAAGCGGGCGCTTCGGGGTGCAGGATAGCTAGTAACGAGGGAAACAACCAGGGAGACTCTTTGACAGGTGGTATGGACAGATACAATTCCAAAGTGACACCAGTATCTAAGACAGGTAGAGTCCGGGGCAGAAATAGACGTAGTCACGAGCGCCGAGCATATTCAGAAATAGGGTATATTAACATGCAGGGTGGTAGGAACAGCCTGAAGTGGGAAGAGATAGAACAGTTAAGAGAGGAGAGGCCGATGGTATACGGTTTTGTAGAAACACATCTCAGAGACATGGAACAACCTCCTAACAATGAAGACTACGCGTAGGAATATTGTAATAGAACAGAAGGCAGCAGAAAGGGGGGGGGGTGGTATTGGGGCATTCATTCATAAAAGTACAGACTGACAAAGGGTCAAGCAGGAGTGCAAGGAACATTTATGCCTGAAAGGGAAAGTGGCAGGGCAAATGACACTCCTTGGTTTCGTGCACTTGTGGACGGGAGCAAAGGCCAGAGAGGAAAACCAGGCAATGGTAGAGTGTATATCAAATGACATTCTGTAGTTAGGAGGAGAATGCGAGATAATTATACTTGGAGATATGAATGCACACATAGAAGATATAGATGGGTATACCGACCCGACAGGTAAAATGATCATGGATATATGTGAAAGGTTTGATTTGATCATTTGCAACACTACCGAGAAGTGTGAAGGGCAAATAACATGGGAGGTAGGAAGGCTACAGTCGACAATAGATTACGCACTGATGTCACATAGGATGTATGATAAGCTCATGGGAATGCACATAGATGAATGTGGCTCCAGAAGTCTGCGTAGTGATCACAAACGTATCAAGCTAAGTTTTGGAAGAGCAGTGAAAGTGGGAAGGAGACAAAATGAGCAACTACACGAAAATTTTTATTCAGAAAGGCAAATTGAAATAGCCACTAAACAAATTGAGAAAGTAATCACTCAGGATAATAAAACAGTGTGGACATACACGAATCTAATTAGACTGTTTGAGCTAGAGCTTGCTATGGCACGTGACAAGTCACTCCGGAAAAGAAGACACAAACCCAAAAGTTGGTAGGATGAGGAAGTTACGAGAGCCATAGCAAAACGTCAGGAAGCCTCTAGGGAACACAGACATGCTAAGCAGCGGGGTGAACCGGCATGATGATGTTGAAAGAAAATGGGAAATCTTTCTAAGCTGTAGAAGGGATGCATCTCTTCTGATCAATTAAAAGATTGGAAGAAAGGGAGCTCAGTGGCTGGCAGAAGTCCATAAAAAAGATAGAAAGGCAGCTGCGAAATTTTGGAACCATCTAAACTCCCTAAGAAAGGAGACGAGCTTAGAGCAGAGGTCTATAACTACAGCTCAAGGTGATAGGCTAGAAGGGGACGAAGCTATTGAATATATAAGAACAAGGGTGACAGAAAAGTTTCGACAAAGAAGTGCTTTATGCCCCACAATAGACAAGGATGAATCAAGTGGCGCAATGGCTCCATTTTCACAACGTGAGTGGGAAAGGGCTGAGAAAAGGGTTCCTAGTAGTACATCAACAGGCCGAGATGGCCTCCCAATCATGCTGATAAAGACATTAGGTCCGAAGTCTAAGCAGGCTTTGAGAGAGGCAGTGCACAAAATAATAATCGATGGGGAAGTCCCCTATGGATGGAAACTTAGCAGGATGAGCCTGATCTCTAAAAAAGGGGGGACAAAGCTGACATAAAGAACTACCGTCCTATAACAGTGACATCAGTGGTCTACAGGCTGGCGATGCAGATTATGAAGGAAAGACTGCAGGCACGGATAGAGAATGAGGGGGTGCTGGGGGAACTGCAGAATGGGTTTCGGAAACACAGGAGGTTGGAAGACATTCTGTTCTCACTGACGCAGTGCATCTAAATAGCAGAAAATGAACACAAGCCCCTGTGGCTAGAATTTTTGGATATCAAAGGAGCGTACGATAGCGTGGTTTAAGAGGAATTGTGGGGAATACTGGACACACTAGGTGTGAAAGATGTAATCACTAAACTTTTAAAAGATATCTATAAAGGTAACAAGGTAGTTATAAAGTGGGAAAAACAGGTGTCCAAGTCTGAAGAGGTAAAACGGGGGCTTAGGCAGGGGTGTCATCTGTCACCCTTATTATTCATGATGTACCTACAAGGATTAGAGGCCAAATTAGAGTGAAGTGGACTGGGCTTCAACCTCTCTTTCGTCAAACAAGAAAAACTCATTGAACAGGTACTACCGGCATTGATGTACGCAGATGATGTAGTGCTAATGGCCGACAACAAGGAAGATTTGCAGAGATTGGTGGACATCTACGGTAATGAGGGAGATAGGTTAGATTTCAGATTCAGTAAGGAAAAATCAGCAGTCGTGATTTTTAATGACAATGAAGGTAGTGAGCTTAGAATACAGGAGGTCACACTAGAGATAACAGATAAATACAAATATCTGGGCGTAGGGATAAGAAATGGGGCCGAGTACCTACGGTAACACGAAACATGCGTGACGACTAAAGGTAACAGGAATGCAGCGGTAATGAAAAACAGGGCACCGTGGAATTACAATAGGTATGAAGTTGTGAGAGGAATATGAAAAGGGGTCATGGTTCCTGGTCTGACGTTCGGCAATGCAGTCTTGTGCATAAAATAAGAAGTTCAAGCAAGATTAGAAATTAAGACGTGGAATAGGTATGCTTGCCATAGGAGCTCACGGGAATACACCAAATCAGGGAGTGCAAGGTGATATGGGATGGACATCATTTGAGGGCAGGGAAGCTAGCAGCAAGATAAAATTTGAAAAGCGATTGAGAGAAATGGGGGAGGAGCGTTGGGCAAGGAAAGTTTTCAGCTACTTGTACATGAAGAATGTAGATACAAAATGGAGGAAGCGAACCAGAAAATTGACTCGTAAATACTTAGAAAACAGTAGGAGGCCAAACCAAAAAGAATTATCGGTTAAGAAGAAGGTGAAGGAAGCTGAGACCAACATGTGGAGAATTGGCATGATTAAGAAGTCCGCACTAGAGATCTATCGAAATTTTAAGTAGGAAATTGCCAAAGAAAGGATCTATGATAACACTCGGGTAGTTCTCTACTGTTTGAGGCCAGGACGGGAGTATTGCGAACCAAGGCATATCGCACCGAATACGAAGTGGTAGACACGGTATGCAGTGCGTGTGGAGAGGAAGAAGAAACTGCCGAACACTTAATAATGTTCTGTAAAGGGATTCACCCTATAGTTCAGGATGATGGTGCATAGTTCTTCAAAGCACTGGGGTTTAAGGACAAGGAGGGCAAAATAGACTTTAGGCGGGTAGAATTAACTAGAAGGAGGTTATCTGATTGGTGGCTCAAGTCAAGGCATGAGTGAATATATACCCTTCAGTGCAAAGTACGAATCCTCAACCTCACTATTTAAAGGGAAAAAATAAATGTAGTTTTTGGTTCAATAAGTATTACGGCTTGGTGGCACTAGCCACCGCCCGATCTAAAAGGTACAGCCATATCCATCCATCCATCCATCCATCCATCCATCCATCCATCCATCCATCCATCCATCCATCCATCCATCCATCCATCCATCCATCCATCCGTCCGTCCGTCCGTCCGTCCGTCCGTCCGTCCGTCCGTCCGTCCGTCCGTCCGTCCGTCCGTCCATCCGTCCGTCCGTCCATCCATCCATCCATCCATCCATCCATCCATCCATCCATCCATCCATCCATCCATCCATCCATCCATCCATCCATCCATCCATCCATCCATCCATCCATCCATCCATCCATCCATCCATCCATCGAATATATGATGAAAAGATGTGAGATAGTGATACTTGGAGTGTTCACTAGATGGACGGATGGAAAGACACAGACAGACAGACAGACAGACAGACAGACAGACAGACAGACAGACAGACAGACAGACAGACAGACAGACAGACAGACGGATGGACGGACGGACGGATGGATGGATGGTTACCGATAAAATCCCCCGAAGCTTCGCACCACTCACCATCATTCACTCCGTGGATATACTATGATAGTTTTCATTGGCGGTTTGCACTTCCTTGATCTGAAATGGTGCCAGGGTAATCGCATGGTCTCTTGCGCTCTGCAAACCATTATGAAAAAAAAAATCAAGCCGGCGAGAAAGGGGTCACGGGCTTGCTGTGCCGCCCCTGGCTACACCAGTGATAGGCACCAAACAACTTAGTTGTAGTGATGAATCTTCGTATCAACTAAACAAAGCCAACCTACAAAAAAGCGATAATTCAATCGAGTAAACAAATAAATGACCTAATACTTCTGAATTTGGATAACATAGAATGCTTATACAGTTCATATATTGATTGATTGATTGATTTGTGTGGTTTAACGCCCCGAAACCACCATATGATTATGAGAGACGCCGTAGTGGAGGGCTCCGGAAATTTCGACCACTTGGGGTTCTTCAACGTGCACCCAAATCTGAGCACACGGGCCTACAACATTCCCGCCTCCATCGGAAATGCAGCCGCCGCAGCCGGGATTTGAACCCGCCACCTGCGGGTCAGCAGCCGAGTACCTTAGCCACTAGACCACCGCGGCGGGGCATGTATACAACATATATATACAGCAGTTCATATATACAGCAAATAATTTGAGGCAATGCACTTGAACTTCGGCACATATAACCAGGATGGTACCTTCCTTTAATAAAACCCTATGTGGATTTGAGATACGCACACAGGTCATAATCGGCAACAATGCGCCACTTATTAAACTAGCATTGGAAAACTATTAAGTACGCTGCCTGGGAAAAATGTGTTTGATCCGTTGTTGTTGTTTTTTTGTACAAATAGCGATCGACATACCGTCAATGGAGCAGAAGAATAAAAAAAAAAAACACATCACATCAGGAAACATTGCACCTAATTGCAGCTGGACCACAGTTTTTTTCGTCCACAACATATCGCACAATCACACCAGCCTGGTGTCCTCCGCCGGCCGGTACATCTCGTCAATGTCCCGCTGGTAATGCATCTGAAGCGGCTTTCTGCGAAGCTTCAGCGTGGGCGTCACCAGCCCCGAGTCGGGCATCCACTCTTCGGGGCAGAGTTTGATCTTGAGCGGCACCTCCGTCTTCTGCAGTCCTCTGGACCTCGCGAACTCCAGGATCATGTCGACGGCAGCCTTCGCGACGTTGCCGTCCTCGCAGAGTTCCTTCAGGGTAGCGTTCTCCTTCTTGCCGAGTTTCATGCCCAGTCTGAGCAACTGCTGGTAGTTGGGTGTCACGAAGGCCACCAGGTATGTGTGCAGGGAACTGCCGTACGCGAAAATGTTGTCGACGAGCGCGCATGTCTTGAGGACCATTTCAACGCGACCCAGCGAGACGTACTCGCCGTACTGCAGTTTTACGAGGTCTTTCTTGCGGTCGACAATCTTGAGCGTGCCATCCGGAAAGATCTCGCCGATGTCGCCCGTGTAGAACCAGCGAATCCCGCTCTCTTCGCGGAACAGCTCTCGCGTCAGTTCTTCGTTTTTGAAGTACTCCTTGGCGAGACCAGGTCCGCCGACCAGTATCTCCCCGCGAGGATTGGGCTTGTCCTGGACGCTGTACTTTCCTTCTTCCCAGTCGACCAGGCGGATGTAGCACTTGGGCAGCGGTGCTCCGACGCTGCTCTCCCTCACCTCGTCAGCGTCCATGATGGTGGCCGCGCCACCGGTCTCAGTGAGCCCGTAACCTTCGGCGATGGGGCAACACAGGCAGACCTCGAGGTAGCGGCGCGTCTGCGTCGACAGGGGCGCCGAGCCGCACGCGACGGCCTTAACGTTGCCACCGAGGATCGCGCTTGTCTTCTTGAATATGAGCTGGTTAAGAATCGGCGTTTCGAAGCCGCGCTTGACCCAGAAGTGCTTGTACGCCACGGCGTAGTCGAAGAAGGCTTTGAACATCGCTCCTTTGGAAGCGGCTGCGTCGTTGATGCCCTTGACTAGCCTGTCCAGTATGAGCGGCACGGTCGCTATCTGGGTCGGCCGTAGAAGGGTCACGTCACCGGGACAGCCTCGGGCCAAGGCAGTCGCGTTGTCGGTGAGCGTCAGCGGTGACGAGAAACCCATGCGAGCGCCAACGCCGAAGAGGTGTAGCTCGGCGATCAGTTCGAACATGTGGGCCAAGGGTAGGTAGGAGACGTAAGTGTCGTTGCAGGTGGACACGCCGAACCTCTGGCAGCCCACGGCGAAGCTGTGCACGTCCGAGACTAGACCGCCGTGCGTGAAGACCACACCCTTGGGCGTTCCAGTGGAGCCACTGGTGAACATGATCATGGCCACGTCTTCCGGCGTGGGTGGGGTGGATGGCAACTCGCAGCTTTCTGCGCGTTTCGCCAGACTGGAGAACGGGACGACCTGCGACAAGACATCGAGTAGGTTTAGTAGGGCTTTGCTGGTAGTCTGGTTGGTGATGTATTGTTCGTACTCTCGTAGAAATGCACGGAAATGCAGAAGGGGTGATCGTCTTAGCGCTGAAGGTCATCTAATGGAGTTGAAAGTCAAGTCTCAGTTAGTATGTTCAGTTTTTTTGTTTTCTTACAGTGAAGAACTATATTGCTATAGAATTGTCAAAATTGGGCGATCTGTCAGCCAGTGAGTTCGCAGAAATCATGATGACGAAGCAATGCTAGCACACGCTACAACGAATGGTCTACTTAGTTTTCCGGCTGTGCCATCATATGTATCTGGTAAGGTATGATACCTGCCGCACCACGAATAGGACAAAGATATTTCAGTATTTTTAATATTGCCACCAAACGTAAAGTTTCAAGCATGCATCTTTTAAATGTGCTTATAGTCTTATAGAGAAATAAAAAATAAAAAACAGGGTTGATCCCTCCGTAATAGGAATCGGTATAACAAGGATGTAAAAAAACACGGAGTGAATGATGCTGAGTGGGGCGAAGCTCCGGAAGGTTTTATCTGTAAACCGTGAATCCTCTGTCTGTCTGTCTGTCTGTCTGTCTGTCTGTCTGTCTGTCTGTCTGTCTGTCTGTCTGTCTGTCTGTCTGTCTGTCTGTCTGTCTGTCGTCTGTCTGTCTGTCTGTCTGTCTCTCTGTTCGTCCACGCCTGCTGGGTGAGCTATAGAACTAGGCTGTCACATACCAAAACACAAGCATGTACAGACCCACGGCTTTCGGAGCCTCGCCCTTGAGAGTAGTTACTGTATATTTATAGAAGAGAGGTTATACAATGTCTGTTGCTACAGCTAAATACAATTTTGCGTATATACATCTACGTTGACGCTTACTGACACATCTCCATCCGGTGGGAACGGCCAACGGCCATGGTTAATGATTGATCAACATGCCCCTGTGATAATAAATGCCTGTGGCAGCTGTATCTGATAACGGTGACAGAAGGACCAAAGAAAGCGGTGTGACATCTAGAACAGCACGAGTCATTGCACACCAAAGTTGGGCTAAGGTTGCCTACCCGCGGCATGATAAAATTAATCAACGCCACTGCCTGATTAGAAGGACATGCAACGCGCGACGTGTCTTCTCTGTTGGCCGGCCCAAACTTCTCGCGTGGGCTCTGCAACACTTTTTGAGCATGGTCAGAAAACGCTGCCGATCGGTAGTAGAGGCTCCCAACAACACGTGAGCCAAATGTTTTAGCGCAGCACGCGGCCTGGAATTGACAATAAATTATCAAAGTCAGCTAAAAATAGCTTTCTCTTCTCTCGACAAATCACGGAAAATAAGCCCAGTCAGCGACTACTCTATAAATAGAGGAGGCGCTGGCCCAGTAAGCCCATCTATAACCCATTGGCTGATTTGAATATGGTGCGTTTGGTTGTTACAGAGGTCGCCTCGGGGGAAGCCGTCACTTGTCCACGTGTGCGCGCGCAATCGCACTGAAAAAATCGCGTATGCGAATAAAAAAATCGAAAAAAAATTCTCATAGTCACGAGTGTCGTTTTTGTTTGCCCTTCCCATTCCTCCCTGCTCAGCTTCCAGCGCTTTAGTCGGGACGAGAGGAGAGAGAATCGGATTGCAGCGTGTGTCAAATCTTTGTGATTCCGCTCGTACTGGACGGATTCATAAAATTTTTGCGCCGTTCAATTAGTGAAGTAATACGCTTTTCCAGTGAATTAATTCCATGGATACTCAAAACAGTGTTTCAGGGCCCCTTTGAGCGAGGCACGCTAACGTGGAGTGACATCTAGACGAAGCAGGTGCGTTGCTCTATGCTTTGCAGATCTATTTCAGGCATGGACGGATGCTATAAGCCGACGCTTTTTTCAAGGTTGCCACCTGGAAGTGTGTAAAGGCGTTGACGAAATTGAACTTCTGTTTCAGGAGGTGCGCAAAATAGGACGGATACGTACAAACGACGCGTTGAAGAGAATGATCGTGGATTTTACGGCCATGATGTATTATTAAGCTTTACCAAGGTTTTTGTGAGAGGGCAGAGTAAGATACAAAAGGCGTGCTTTCAGAACCTACAAAGAATGTGGCCGTGGTGCAGTCGATTTCGTGCCCGGAAGCTGTCGTCGCTGACAGAGAGGTCGTGGGTTCGACTCCCGTTGACGGTGCTTCTTTTTATTTGTCTTCTAATCCATATTTTAACGTCATTTCCGTGATGGAAGTGCGTCACTGAAATCTTGGTGGACCCCGGCATGAAACACTTCCGTACTAAAAATCAAGAGAAGAGTCTTTTATACAAAGCAGGTCGCGTTGAGCAACGGGACCACGTGTTTCAGCTTTCTTGCTTAACCATTTGTACGGAGTATTTGGGTGACGACCATAGGCACGGACAGGGTTCCCCTTTAGGGGAGGGGGGAGGCAATGGTTCGTCGCAGAAGCACCCTTTCTCCCTATTATGCCAATGCATAGGGCTTACTTTGGTGAAGGTAAAGAAACCCGAGGCGCTGCACCCACCAAAGTGAAAATTAAAGCACTATGAAAAAGCTAATAAACAATTCAATAAAGAATTGCATCGGGCCAGTTGGTAAGGATCCATCTTGCTAGGAAGCGCGGCCACTATTACACAGAACACACAACACAAGCGCTGACTTCGCGCCCCTCACCCTCGAGTCGCAGTGCCCCCTCCCCCTATTCATTATGTACAGGGCTGACTCTGCGCCTCTCTCCCCCTTCTTTATGTGACTAGGGGGAGGCGGCTGCTTCCCCCCTTCTGTTCCCACTCCAATCACGTGTTTCAAGCACACTTGCGTGTTTGTGTTGCAGTATTAAATTTGCAGCGCTCATAGCTAGATTTGTTTGTGCATGCAACATAAAAAAAGAGCGCGAAATGAAACAAGGTTGTCGAAAGAGAATGCGGCGAGTGCTCTTCCCGTCCTCCATCTCTTTTCTGTCTTCTAATTCGCATTTCTTCTCCTTACTTAACAGTAAGTGTGACAAGATTGTTTTTTATATAATTCCTGATTCGCGATTTCCGATGCTCTACAAGATTAACTGGGCCCGCTGTGGTGGAGTAGTGGTTTCGGTGCTCAGCTGCCGATCTGAAGTTCGCGGGTTCGATTGCGGCCTCGTCGGTCACATTTCGATGGATGGCAAACGCTATCCGTGTACTGTGCAAGGTCACTGCGTGTTAAAGAACACCAGATGGTGGCTATCCATGTATTGTGCAAGGCCACTGCGTTTTAAAGAACACCAGATGGTGGCTATCTGTGTATTGTGCAAGGTTACTGCATGTTAAAAAACACGAGATAGTGGCTATCCGTGTATTGTGCAAGGTCACTGCAGCATGCGTGTTAAAGAACACCAGATGGTGGCTATCCGTGTATTGTGCAAGGTCACTGCGTGTTAAAGAACACCAGATGGTGACTATCCGTGTATTGTGCAAGGTCACTGCGTGTTAAAGAACACTAGATGGTGGCTATCCGTGTATTGTGCAAGGTCACTGCGTGTTAAAGAACACCAGATGGTGGCTATCCTTGTATTGTGCAAGGTCACTGCGTGTTAAAGAACACCGGATGGTGGCTATCCGTGTATTGTGCAAGGTCACTGCATGTTAAAGAACACCAGATGGTGGCTATCCGTGTATTGTGCAAGGTCAATGCGTGTTAAAGAACACTAGACGGTGGCTATCCGTGTATTGTGCAAGGTCACTGCGTGTTAAAGTACACCAGATGGTGGCTATCCGCGTATTGTGCAAGGTCACTGCGTGTTAAAGAACACCAGATGGTGGCTATCCGTGTATTGTGCAAGGTCACTGCTTGTTAAAGGACACCAGATGGCGGAAACTTCCGGAGCCTTCTACCACGGCGTACCTTTTAACCATATCGTGGTTTTGAGATGCAAAACCACCAAATGTTATTATATAATTTACCATAGCTACCCAAGTTTACTTCAGGGTTCCGTGTACACCGATTAAAAGAAAAGTGAACGGGGGCTGGACAATGCATGATCGAATTCCGCTGAATATTCGCCAGGATGACGAACAGGGTGTAGTTGAAAACTGTTCACATAGCGTAAAGGGAGAATGAACAAAGACAAATGTGAGTGACTTTACGGAGTTGCGAGCTAGATTTTGTGAGACCCTTTCCTGCACAACAGTAAATATCTTTGTTAGTCTTAATCGCGACCGCTCATCTTGTTGTGTTATGTTCACCGGACGTGCGGAATTTGTGAATAACTACGTATAAACTGTCGTTTTTCGTTCTGTTTATTTTATCTGGCGGGATCCTTAATGTAGACCCCTTAAAAGAGCACTGACATCAAATTTACTCATGTCAAGATTTTTGCGTCAGCGAGTAGCTATAGACCCCGTAGCAGCGATTCGCGACCTATAACGCAACTGAGGGATGAATAACTATCACATTTATTGATTTATATCACTGGTATCTAGCACTATTCAAGACGGCCGGCAATCCCGCCATTTTAGCACTGAGAGCAACAGCAGTAGCGCTACCTCGCGCTCACCTCCAGATCACGCCACAGCTGACCACTTCGCCACAGAAAATAGTGACGTCTGGCTCAGCTGCTCCGCAAATATTTCGTCTGCTAGGCGGACACATTCAGTCATACTTTGTCACCTGCACTGCTGACGTCGCCGTACAAAGTGTCGACTCGGGTTCAATATACGATAGTCTGGAGCTTGTAATCCCCGCGATTCATGAGATCGCGAAGTATCTTTGTTTCGATCGACCTCTTGCAGAACAGTGATTCCGAAATGGACGCCCCACGCGGCACGCCGCGGTGGTCTAGTGGCTAAGGTACTCGGCTGTTGACCCGCAGGTCGCGGGATCGAATCCCGGCTGCGGCGGCTGCATTTCCGATGGAGGCGGAAATGTTGTAGGGCCGTGTGCTCAGATTTGGGTGAATGTTAAAGAATCCCAGGTGGTCGAAATTTCCGGAGTCCTCCACTACGGCGTCTCTCATAAT